TGAACCGCTGTGAGGACTGGGAAGAGCACGAGACACTCGGCAGGTGCTGTCGGCTTCAAGTGAAAGAGGTGTCCCACAGCAGTGTGCTACGAACGGTTCGCAACGAGGTTGTGAACAGGGTGAAAGAAGTTGCAAAAAACAAGACCTGCAAGGCCTGGGACGTGCAAGCCTCGAGCCAGTCCAAGAACGGTGCGAAGGAAGGAAAGGCTGAGAAGAAAGCCGAGAAGGAACTGGCCAAAAGCAACCAGACCGTGCTGGGTCTGGCTGCCAAAGTCTTGACCACGGTCACCAACAGCTGGCTGCAGACGGAGCTGCTCCTTGCGAAGACAAGCCCCTTGGACGACGAGGCCACGGTTAAGTTGCTCAAAGAGTCCCACTCTTTGCTGCAAAGCTGGAAGATTGCCTGCGAGAGCGTGCTGGCCAAGAAGGAGAATGCAGGCGAAGTTCCACTGACGCTGCCCTTCTCGAAGGAAGAAGTGGACACCCGTCTGAAGACCGTTGGAGCCGCCGCCAAGGCACTCAAAGAAACTCGCAAGGCTGTCGTGCTTGAGTCGAGGAAGGCGAAGCGTGCGGCCGCCGCCGCCAGCAACGGTGCGGAACCGGCGCCAAAGAGGCGCAGAACCAAGAGCACCCCGGGGAACTGAGTGGCTTGAACTTGCACGACGGCACCGCGGTCGTTTTCGACCGCCCTGCCTTAATTCATTAATTTCTGCATCCTATATATATAGGAGAAGAAGAGAGATCGCCCGCCCGCATCAGGGCGATCGCTCGAGTGGACACTGGCAGCAGGACCTGCCTCAGGAGAAAGTGCGGCTTCGCCAAGACCAAAAATCCCGAGGGCTGCTGCATTTCTCGCGCACCCCTCTGATCTGTTTATAAGACGTATATATAGATATCCCCAACGGGTTGCTGCACTGTTTCCCTGTATGATATAGAACTTCTGTTTTCCTGACAAGGTTTCGGCTCGAGCCCAACACAGCAGGCGTTGTAGCAAGCATGAATCTGCGGGCTACTGTTTCTGAGCAAGGTGTCCGGCTGTATGCCGGTGCAGGGACCAACTTGGGTCTCCACCTGAACCTACGAGCCTACCTCCAGCAGCCGGACTCTTCGAAGCAGACGCAGTCCTCGGCAACGGCCTCTGCGGAGGGAAGCCAGGAGAAGTGCAAGAAGCGGCCGCTGCCGGCGAGTCCGGACTCGAACGCTACTACTCTGGTCCTGCCGGGGCACCGCTCAGACCAGGAGGACGAAGCGAGCTCGGAAGTCGAGGTCTGCAGCGAAGCACCTCCCCACACCCCTCCGCCGAAGAGGGTCTTGGGGCAGGAACCTTTGTTTCTCACACAGCTGGAGCAGCAGTTGCAGTCTGCCCTCGTCTCCCCACACTGTTCTCTCAGCTCGGAGCACCGCCTCTTGGTCGCCAAGCTGAAAGAGGAAGTGCAGGAAGCGCTTGCCCCTTCTACGAAGGACGCAGCGAACCGGACGCGGTTTGCTGTTCTAGACCACGTGGCCGAGCTGCAAGCTCGCGGCCAAGCCCTGCTCTTGGAAGTGGAAGACAGCATGCAGACGAGCATGGCCACGCAGGCTTCGCCTGCAGCGTCCTCGCGGCCGGCTACACCCGCAAAGCCAGAAGCGCAGCCCGAACACCGTGTGCGTTGCGCACACCTGGAAGAGACGCCTTTTTTTGCCCTGCGGAAAGCCAGGCAGTCAAAGGAGGCATAAGCGGCGCTGCTGATGCTCGCTCTAGAGTTTTGGGACGCAGCTCTGTATGCGATGCGTTAATCTAGGGGATGTATAAACGACAAAGCCCATGGGTCAGCGAGAGAAGAAAATGAACGAGGAGAGCTGTGACCGCTGCTATTTATATATAATATGATATGAACAGCAAAATGCTTTGCAACCTGCTCCTTTAGCATGCCTCTTGAGACCACAGCCTTTTGGGCTCCAGGTGGCAGGGCCAGTCTTCTTTTGGGGCCTTATATAATATATATATATATATATAATACATATATACTTGGGCTCCAGGTGGCAGGGCCCCTTGGTCTTCGCAAGGCTCCAGGTGGCATGGCCAGTCAACTTTTGGGACCGTAGCCCTTCAGGCTCCAGGTGCCAGGGCAAGCCCGCTTTGAAGCCCGGAGCATGGGGAAGAGAAAAGCAGCACAGGACACAGGCGAGGACCTGCGGACTGTCCTGCGAGAAGAGGCGACAAACATGCCTCTCCGGCAGCGAGAACGTGTACTCAGGCGCATGGAAGGCCAAGCCTTCCAGCACAGCGTTGAGACGCGCAGGTGCATGTAGTGTCCTCCTCTTGGAGAACGCTTTAATTATCTTCTGAAGCTGTCGCAAAGATGTATGCTGCTCCCGCCACGAAAAGAAATTCAGCGTCTTCGCCGCCGCAGTGCTTCTGTGCAGTCGCGATGTCAATAAATTCTGCAGTTTTGCTCGAGCCTTCGCCCCCTTCGTGTCCGAGCGGCAGCAATGCCGCCGCGTAGTAAGAAGGCTCCCGGCCTGGTCTTTCGCAAGGACGAGAAGGGCGTACACGTCTTTGAAGGCCGTGGACGGCAAGTGGGAAGCTTCCGAGACCTGCAGACGGCTTTCCAGGCCGCGAAGCCGGTCTCGGCTAAGGTGGCAACAGCAGCAGCGG